CCTTAGCAAAGCGCATCCCAGGCTGCATAGCCGCACTACCCTACCCAACCATACCACACATAAACATGACACTACCCCCGGGGTTTACACAGACGAGCCGGCGAAGCAAGAAGAGCGCCAGAAGAAAGGGCCCTAGCCGGCGGGGCCCAGCCAGGACAAAAGGAGGTCCCACAAAGCGCCTACACCGGCCGCATTTGCGGTCGGGGTAGACGACGGATGGGGCCCACCTACGAAGGCTGTCCAGGCCTACACGAGATGAGGCAGGATAAAGAGGGATAATCCCCCTCGATCCCAAATCATTGAGGCCAATTTCTAGCCATGGAATAATGGCGTGGTATAATACGTATTATTATTTATTAGTTGATATTATTATTTATTCATATCGTAACCAGTAATATTTATTAAAATAAACGTTATATGTAATTATCTAGTAATTTAGCGTAGCTCTCTGGAGACTCTTTGAAGCGGAGGATAACGAATAACTCGGGAAAAGAGTTTAAAAACAAAGATTTACACGTACAATTTACAAATATATGAATGTTTGAAAATTGAAAATAGTGAACAATGTGATAAAAAAATTAGGAAACGGATTAACGAATTAACTAAGATATCAAAAACAACAATTTATCGCGTAAGTATTGAACACGGTACAAAGAGGAAACGGAAAAATACAAAATTAAAGAAAATTGACCATTTTACCAGATGTATTGCGGCTCACATTTTATAATATGTATAAAGATTTTTTTTTTCGGTACAAAAAACAATATGATTTGTTAGTTTAGTATATATAAAATATGTTTAGTTATTTTATGTAAGTATTTTCAATGGAAATAAAATAGTTTTGTCCAATAAAAAGATATATTTTGCGTTTATGTCACCGTACATAATATATAACCTCTTTCTTTTTCTAACTAACCATAAACTTATGATCCGTAAGAACTAAGAACACTGAACACTTTACTCCTGATCTCCTCTTCTTCTTCTTATCCGAAAAAGTAAATCGCGCGGAATTTCTTAAATTTTTGAAACGGGTTACTACATGATTAAAAAAAATTGTTGAATATTTTGTGCTGTATTGACTTTTATACTGTTATGACTTCCTCCAGTAGATATTTTGAAAACGTTCAGAGCCATGCCCAGGAAATATTTTAAATGATAGCTAAAACAAATTAAGCGATTACAATAGTAATATCAAATAATTCAGAATTAAAAATTACTAGATTTTGTCATAAAAATAATAGCGACATATTTAAAAAAATTAACTTGATAATGGCCCCTCGAAGACTAAACGTCGGATTGCAAAAATGTTGCCGGCATTGGATAGAACAAAAAAGTGGTAATGTAAATATGCAATTTATTTTAAAATTAGTTTCCAAATAAAGCTAGAAAAATAAAACAATGAAACTACCCAGAATTTAAAAACTTTTTAAATGGCATAATGTTAGGTACAAAAAAAACAACTTTTTTCTAATTTGAGCCAGCCCTAGATTCTAATGCTATCCCATCCTTATCTTGCACAAACTGTATAGTTGACAGTTCAGTTGTCGAGCTAAGGTACAATAAAAGTTTAGTCTGTTTTAAAGTAATAGTTCCCCAAACTTACGTCACCCATTCGCAGAAAACAGCAGCCTACTTTTCCAACATTTATTATTTTTTCAATTTCCGTTTCCGCTTTGACCACAAATGAAGATAAAATCTCCCGATCTTTAATATTTCTATGTTACGATTCAAAAAGTGCATCAAATTTTAAATGTAAAATTGCTCCTAAATGTGACCGTAACAAGCAAGTTTTACATTTCACGATTTTTAGTCCAACTGCATATGTTTCTACTGCAAATAGCTATGGTCATTGTCACTATCAGACTCAAACAACCAAAGTTGTCATTCTACATTTAATTTGTTTTTTAAATGTAAATTGCAAAAGAAATTTCATTGCATTTTTGTATGTAAATTAGTGACTTATTAAAGGGGTGAAAATAGGGTTACCAGATCTATTTCATGACAGACCCGGAGACATGAGTTCTAAAAAAAAAATGTCAGGAAATATGGGAGACAAATTGTTTTCGAAGAAGTCGGTCTAAAAAAAAAACGTAATCAGGAAATATCTACTTCGTGACAGACCTAGAGGAAATAATTGACGTCTTAAAAAAAAAACGGAATCAGGGAATGTGGGAAATGTACGATATTTTTCCAGAAAACCCTAAGAAATTACATGTTAACCCAGAGCCCGAAGATGTACCATCAAAACCTGAAGACTCTGGGTCACACCCGGAGATCTGGCAACCCTAGGAGAAATATATATTTGACAAAATATACATAACCCATGGCATACAATAACATTTTTTTATTTCGAAGAGTTGTAGAAAAGTAAAAATGTTTATGTAAAAATGTAAGTAATTATATTAAAATATGCTTTGTTTATGTTTAAAATTCAAATTATATTATTATTATTATTTAAATATTCAAATTATGTTAAGTGACCAGAATTTAAAAATTGGTCAGGGCACAGTAAATATATCGATTTTCCTGTATAACTAAAACTGCATGATCTACTTACTTTTTTTTCTATAGTTTATTAATATTTTTTTGCCAATTCTTCATTCTAAATTCGATTTTCCTGTATAACTAAAACTGCATGATCTACTTACTTTTTTTTCTATAGTTTATTAATATTTTTTTGCCAATTCTTCATTCTAAATCTATCGATTTTCCTGTATAACTAAAACTGCATGATCTACTTACTTTTTTTTCTATAGTTTATTAATATTTTTTTGCCAATACTTCATTCTTTTCGTAAGGAAAATAATTCACTGTTATCTTTTAATATATATGCATTCAAGTTTGAAAAGTTGTCAGTATCAGTCTTCTTCAAAACGTTAGTATTTACATTTTTTGCAATTTTTTATTCCCTAACTGTTATAAACAGTAAAAAATCATCACAGGACAATAATTACAAAAGTTTTTTGAAAACTCAATATTTTTTTCGTGAACTTTGTAACTTTTATTTTATTAGTAGTTAAATCTCTATCAGATTTTGTGAAATGACTAAAATTACAAAAATAAATAAAATATGTCTAAAAAAAATGTACATAGATGCCAACCTTCTGAAAGATTCCAAATTTTCTGAAAGAAGGAATAAGGGGGACGCTGTTGCCCAAAGTTGGACTTAGGATAATGCTAGCTCTAAAGGACAAACTTCATGAAAGATAGATAAATGCTTTGCAAAGGAGGACGCCTGGTCATGTTGTATTATATATCTACACCTAATTCAAGTTTATAGGCAATCAGTTTTACAACAGAACATACATTTAGTAGTCTATTCTATTGACATTAATATTTTGCAGTTTTAAAGAGAAACTTGACTATAATTTTATTTTCAAATACCATCAAAACACAAAACTTTTATTAAAATAAAAAACAAAATAAAATCCTCTACCCTATAAAACTACCTTTACAAAATCAAATTTAATTTTTAAATGTATTATTTTGATATTTTGATACTGAAAATGAGAAACTTATTGAAATTAAATATAAAACTTCACAGATTTCATTTTTTTTTCGTGCAAGAAAATAAACGGTTAATATAAGCATTTCTTTATAGGAAATTATTTATACAAGTTAAATAAAAACCAATTTATGAACAAATAATCCTATATATTAAGAAAATAATATAAAAAGTAATGTTAAAAGCTTACACTGTATGTCTATGTTTTAAATAATTTAAAGCAATAGTTATGTAATATATTACAACTTTTTGTTTGGTTTCTTGATATGATGGTAATTTGGTATCATCTTTGACAGTGTCTCCATCTGTAAAGTTTGAGGCTAAAACAAACAGAAAACAAATAATGGACACCGCTTACTACATTTTTATACATCATATTACATACAACAATAACAATTCAAATTATTTTATTTGAACATTAATTTCAGAATTAACAATATTTCAATATTTATTACAATTCATCTAAATGTTATACCATTTGAACTGAAATTGGTAATTTGTAAAATGACCATATTTGTGGACTAGAATGTTGATTTAATTTCAATGATAGAAATTTTTTAAACTCCGTTAAGGTTGTAAACAGTAATTATACTTTATTAGAATAGATAAATAGAAATTCAAGTTAGGAGTTGTTTATTTTATCTCAATAGATGACAATTTTATACAGGGTGGTCCCGAGGTAATGTGCCAAAATTCATGGGTAGATTCCTGAAGTAAAAATATTGCGATTTAGCTGAACTTACCTTAGTCCAAAAGTTGATAGTTAAAGAGATACAGGGTGTTAAATGTAAAATATTATTTCAGTTTATTTTAATTTATTCCTTAACAAATGCAAATATCCTCACAAAATTTTGGGGATTGGAGTTCTTTGAGTAGAGGAATTGAAATCTGTTCACATTTTGGTTAAAATTCGTAGAGGGTGCTAGCTGCAGTAGATTGAATGTGTTAAAAACGACATAACTTTTTTGTACTTTAAGGTATCTCATCTTTGGTAACAAATTCTTATTTTTCAACTTTTTTAATACAAAAAAGGTATACTTTATTAAAGTAGCTATCTCGCACCGTTTTCGAGATATTTGACTTTGAAACTTCCAATGCTGTTGCATTAAATTACAATTAAGTTCCTACAGGTATTATTAATTTAGCGATAAAGTTTCTTAAGTAGGATTTGGACGAAAATCAAATAATTGACGTCTTCCAGTTGCCTTATTGCTGTCATTTGTATGCTAATTTCTATTAAGTATTATTCGTATCTAATTAAAATTACATCTTAGCTTACAAATTAAAATGTATACTCATATACATAAATGTGAGATAGAATGCCGAGGTTTTAGTTTTTTGAGTTACATGAAATCAGTTGTTTATGGAGAAACTATAAACACTTGAGAAGAACTTTAGTAGCAGGTTTTAAATGCTGCAAAGTCATTTCGCATTAAGGAATAAACGCGTTGATAAATGTATTGAAGTTAGAGGTGGACATTTTGAGCAATTATTGTCAAAAAGGCATATTTTTTACCAATGTTTACTATTTTACTGTGCATTACAATTTTTAATTCTAAATAAACCCTTGTTTTTGACATTTCTAAATTATTTTAATTATTTCAACTATACCATTGGAAGTTTCAATGCCAAATATCTCGGAAACGGTGCGAGACAGCTACTTTCATAAAGTCTACCTTTTTTGTGTAAAAAAAGTGGGAAAATAAGAATTTGATACCAAAGATGAGATAACTTTAAGTACAAAAAAGATATGTCGTTTCCAACACCTTCAATCTATGGCAGCTGGCGCCCTCTATGAACTATAACTAAAATGTGAACAAATTTCAATTCCTCTATCCAAAGAACCCCAAACCCCAAAATTTTGTGTAGATATTTGCATTTATTAAGAAATAAATGGAAATAAACTGAAATAATATTTTACATTTAACACCCTGTATCTCTTTAACTATCAACTTTTTTACTAAGGTAAGTTCGGCTAAATCGCAATAATTTTGCTCAGGGAATCTACCCATGAATTTTGGCCCATTACCTCGGGACCACCCTGTATAGTACAACTTATTTCATCTGACCTGGTATGGTCAGATAAATTGTGGCAAAGTATAGGAGTGGCCCGAAGCTTGTTTCATTTCGGCACTCATAAACATCCATTCAAAAAATTTCGCAACAAAATTTTAAATGCGCAACACAGTAATAAATAATAAAATAATGAATAAATAAATAAAATGATAGCGGTAGCAGGTAATAATCAAGAGTTTACTAATTATCAATCTCTCTCCCAATTGTACTTTCTTACCACTCTTTTAACGTTTTGTATGTAGCGTGCACTCTCTCACGTTTACACAAGTTACTGGACTGATGGTTGAACTGTACTTAAAAATTTATAGAATGATGTGCTACTTTTAAAATCAAATACAATCAGTGATGTAAGTGTCATGTGGCCACCGTATGACCGATGTCGTGACCTGTCATGACCGTCGCGTCACATAAACAACGACCGCGTCATGACAGTTTTTGTTTCTTAAATATTTAAATAATTTTATTAATGTTAATATTAAATTAATATGTATTAAATATGCATTGTCAATGCGGTAAGAAGTAGGTTTATGTTCCACCTGGTGATGTGGTCTCTTTAAAACTTAACCAATGGTAATTATTTTTTGTTTTATTACAAAGAACATTTGTTTTTTGTGTTGTTTGTTTTGTAGTTAAAAACTTTTTTGATATTAATATAGTTTTGTTGTTGAATTTATTAAGGCAATATTGGGATTCAGTAATTTATATTTTAGAAAAATTACTTATTTTGCATAGCGAGGGGATAAAAACCATTTACATTTAAGTACTATCATTTTTTCTAACTGAAACTATTTATGACGTGTAATGACCGTCATGACCTGGTCATGACGGCTATGACTGTCACGAGTTTAAATGACGGTCATTTTACATCACTGAATACAATGAAAATGGATACAAGTCTTACTTCACTATCCTGGCACAATAACTTGATAACAGAAAGCGATTTTTGGATTCTACAAAAGCCAGATGTACAACTTCTTGATAATATCGATTAAGATGAAATAGAGTTCATCCAAAACCAAATGTAAATAACGCGAGAGTCAAAAGAAATTGTTCTTTTCCGGGAACTTTGGAAAGTGAATTATCCTTAAATAAATTTTAGGTAATTTTGAAAATTCAATAGTTTGTAACGAACCTTTATTTTAGCCGCTAAGTATGTCTTTTCCTATGTTACTAACGTATAAACCACATTTTATATTTAATGTAGGACCGAGTTCTAATATCTAATGAACAGTTTGTCTATACCACCAATCGGTTATGAAAGCCGAGCTCCGCACATGAAAGAAAGTAGTGTTGATTGGCAACTTTCCCCAACAAGAAGTAAAACCTCTTCCCGCTTTGGTATCGGCAATTTTCCTATCAAGGGTGCTATCTCCTTACCCTTCCGTCTGGGAATAGAGGGTTGGCAATTTTCCCGCCTGTTCTTGAAAGCCTTTCCTGAAACTCTGAGGGTCGACCCTTTGCCTCTCGGAGTTCTTCACTCGTCCGTCCTCCCCGAATAGCCGTCAACCCGAGTTAAAAGCCGAATTAGAGAAAAGATTAGTTTTCCGATATTTTCCGAATATTAGTACTGACCGTCAGTGATAAATTTTATGTTTTGTAAATAAATGGAAGTAAACCTATTGGAAAAAGTGGTTTTTCTGATCAAGGCCCCTGGTTTACACTTTTCTCCACTGTTGTTACCCAGACGGCAAATTTTTGATGTGACATCCGGGTTCACACATTGAAAGTTCGTCACAAGTTTCTGAAATATTTTAAGCATTAAAAAATGAACTAGATTACTATTTCAAATAATAAAAGCTTAAAATGTTTCAAGATTTAAAATCAAACATTTTTCTTATTTTCTTGATTGTTTCACTTTATTACATTATTCTTTCAATAAAACCATGAATGTACATGTATATTATATATAACCAATGGTACATAAGCAACTCTGATTAGTCACAAAATTTTTTTAATAAAAATTATGATGTCAAAATAGCATTGTTTAAAAATATATGAATATCATTTATGGCGATTGTATACAAAAATAAAAGAGAAATAGTAAAAGTGTATAACATTACCTAAACTGTTAATACTAATTCCAAAATTTATAATACAGCAGAAGTTCTCTCTGTTCAATCTTCAAATTTTATTTATATAACATAATTTGCTTGATATATAATATAAATCAATTTCTAAAGGTCCTGCAAAAAAAAATCTCAACTCCACTTACAATTTGCTTTGGAAAATTTCAATTTGGATTCTTAATTGACATTATTGAAGAACTCCACCAACTGGATTTTACAGTAAAAAATATTTCCGTTATCAGGGCAGTAAGATTATGTGAATCACCAGGTAGAGTGATTAATAATCAGCTTGCATTTTGTTCCTTGTAATCTCATTTTAAAATATTGATATTTCAGAATATACAACTGCCTACAGTTAAGTAACTGGATTAGTATGGAGTACTGTATTCTTTTTAACTAGGAAATGGAAATTATGTATTTACCTAATTTAAATAAAAATCAGTTATCTTACCCCTGGTCTATCTAAACCTTCTCGCATCTCACATTTTGACCCAAATATTATAAGATTTTCCTTCAAAATTTGCTCATCAGTAATCCTACAACCTGCACCGATTGTACAACCATTGGACACAGTAACTTTATTTCCCACGAAGCATTTTGACTCAAAAACATTATTGTTGCCAATTTTAGGAGATTCTACAGTACAATCCACTTCAAATACATTATGTGATCCTATTATTAATACTGGTGTGGTGTTTTCTTTGTTTTGCTGATCGAAAGGTAACCTGAAATACAGTATATACAAAATCGTAGATACAAGTAAAAAATTGCAAGTTTAATTTGCAATTCATAATCATATGATAATATAATGACCACCAACCTATGAATTATTTTCACCTGCTCTTCAATCAAACAACAATCTCCAATAATGATGGGTCCAGCTTCTGCAATAATAGTAGCACTCGGATGGACTATTGTGCCAGATCCAATGGTAATATCTCCTCTAAGTTTGGATTCTTCACAGACAAGAGCGCCTGGAAGTATTTTAATACTAAAACGTTTTGTGTAATAAAAAGAAAATTAACAGTTTTAAAAATATACTTATTTCGTGACATCCTGAAAACTTAGGTTATATTGTCATTTGTCAGTTGTCAG